TGTAGTTCCTTCTGGATTAGATGCGCCTTGCTCCCATCCTCCAAACCCTTTCGTAACGTGGCTTTTCTTCCAAGGTGACTGCATTTGCAGGCTCCTCCACCTCACGCCTGGCTTTAACATCAGCTGGTGTTGAGCCGAAAGACGCTCTGCTGGGATCCCAGCTGCGGATAATAACCTAGCCGGGCTCTGTCCGGAGAGAAAGTCCTCCGGCCCAACTAGAGGATGTAATCAAATAATGCTGAAAATGATGGGGAAAAACTTCCATGGAGAAGCAGGTTGTTTTTCTAACTATAGGTCTTCCGAAACGTATTTTCCTATGATAATTTGCTAGACTTTCTTCTCTGGGGCATTCCTGCTTGGCTTCTCTGATGTCTAACTATGCTGAGCAGTGGGAAGGCTCCTTCTCCTCTCACCGGCTGCATGTCCTCCAAGGAGCTTGTGCGAGCTGGAAGTGCCTTTGATGTGTCAAATATAATTGAATTGGGCAAGAAGGCATTGCGCAGGGCCCTGCTGACAGACGGACACCTACGTGGTAAGGTCATGCATACCTTACTTCTCCCCTAGGCTTTTGGAGGAAAGGAGACCAGGAGGATTTGGCGTTGTGAGGAGCTTCAGCCATTCCCTCCTCCTCTTCCTCTTCCTCCACCTCCTTCTCCTCCTCCTCCTCTTCCTCTTCATTGCTGGTATCAGCGAGCAAACATTGCAACCCCAATCACCCCCTTCTACCACCCCATTGCACAGCTGCGTGGCTTGGTGGCACTTTGGGGACAGCTCGCTTGGAGGGGGACAGGGACCTGTGCCCCCCACTGGCTGAGGGTGTCTGGGCAGGAGGAAGGCAGCCAGAGCCTCATCCTCGCCTGGGGCCCTCCTGCAGCTTTGCCTCACCCACGGAGGCGTGTGTGTTATTAACTGGATACGTGTGCTGGTCCCTGTCGTCCCCAGTTTGCTGATTGCATTTTCTGAGCCCGCACAGCGCTGCTATTAATTTGTCATTTCCACTGCAGCCCAGATTTCTGATGAGTTCAACCCTGTGTCAGACTTCAAACCTGGTGGATTGGCTTGCAGGTGGATGAATTCAGATCACAAATGCTGCTGATATCCAGACTGGTCCAATTCTTGGTCTTGCCCTCTCACCTGGCTCTGTACCTTAACCAAAGACCTTAAAACTGGCACAAGACAGTAACCAGAGACAAGCTCCTGCTGGAATTTGGAATTAGTTGGGGTTGGATGGCTGGAGAAGAAAGTTTGGTTTAGTTTGTTTAAAAAGAAAGAGTGTTTCTTGCTGGCTGAGCTTTGGGAGTTTTCAGCAAGAAAAAAAGTGATCTGGACTGGGAATTTAATGTAGAGCAAGAGCCGGCAAACTTTCCCTTCCTCATCCTGGTCCTGGGGCTGCTGCTTGCCGTGGTGGGGTTAGGGTAAAGCCTCGCCGCTCTCTAGTGCTCCGGGATGTCTCTGCACAGGTGTTTCAGATGGGGCTTTCAAGGATTTCTCTAATCTAACCCATGATCTGTTAGTGCTTGCTTTAAAGGCAAGGGATTATTCTGCTGGCCTGAGGCAGATGGTACTTCCACCCTCATCTACCCCAGAGCAATGAGGTTTTTGCTTCCCTCAGTAACCTGATCCAGCTCCTTGGAGCAAAAAGCCCATGAGGTCGACTAAGCAACCAGCCACCACAGCTGGCTGTGGGAACCTTTGCCGTGGAGGTGTCTCTGTGGCAACTTTTGGGTTGTTTTCCCATGTTGAGCTGCATTCAGTTTGGGAAACCCTCTTGCACTCGCTGGGGCAGGCAGGTGGGATTGGGGATGGGGTTTAGGGGCCAGGTTTGGCCTTGAGGGTGTCCCCATGTCCCTTGCTGCCATCCCACTGTGTGGCAGCTGCCATTTTGGCTTGCAAAGCCAGTCCTGAAGCTGCCATCCAGCCCTTGCTGGTCGCTGACCTTGTAGCCCATGAGTCTGTAAACAGGGATGATGCCATTTAAATGCTGAATAGTGTTAATGCTTAATAACAACATTGCTCTGCTCTTCACTTAGAAATTACTTGGCAGTCTCTAAGGCATTCAAGTAAGTGCATGCAAACGCTTTGGGGCTGGCCTGCAATGGAAATGCCAGCATCCTTAATAATTAATTTGCATCATAATCATCATTAAATTGACACATGGGGATAATAATGTGTATCAGGGAAAGCAAAGCCCGATTAGAAAAGAGATCTGTACAAGATCACACAGCGAGAAAGCTGGGTTTGAAATTCTGGTGTCCTGATTTTCAGGTCTAGCCCTTTCCACCAAGGCCACCTGCATCAGCGACATTAAGAGGTTGCATTTCTGCTCATCTAGGTAAATGCTTTGAATTCTTATGGGCCAGCAGCCATTCACCAGGATCCTCGGGGCTCAGACAGACCTGCCTTTGGGAGGTGGTTTTCTTCTTGAAACTGTGTTTACTGTGGAAGTGTTGTCTTCACCCATGCTGTCTCTTTTTAGGATTGCAAGGAACACTCATGGTAATAAACACTGAAATGGTCTGGGGAGAGAGCTGACAGCAGGAAAGAAGTGTCACCTCTGCCTGGGCACGGGGATGTGAGACAGGCGGGATGGCATCCTGTAGTGTACACGCTGCTGGGATGGGGAGGCACAGGGCTGGCTGGAGACTGCTGGGTTGGCACCGGGTCGCATTGTTGGGTGTAATGGGGGTGTAATGGGTGGAGGCTGTTGAGCTACATCTGTGCAGAGGGGAGCTGAAAGCACAACCAGGCTCCAAAGCAACTGTGAATGCAGTAGATAACATAATAGAGAGTAATCTGGAAACTCAAAAGCTGAAATTCTCGCATAATTGCTCCAAGAGCCTAGGACCTTGCAAAATGAAATGTTGGTGACAATATGCGGTTAGTTAACTCCGTGAACTGGAAAACAAGTTTTTCACCCCGTCCTGCCTCCAAGACCCAGACAAAATTTCTCAACCTAAAAAGTTACAGATAGTTTACACTGATTAGGATTTAAAGAGACTTGTGGTGGTACCATCATCTGCAGTTGGAGCTAAAGACTCTTGCATTGAGTGGTCTCTTAAGAAATGTCTGATTTTGCTCACGTTCCTGAAAAATTGATTTGAAAATTGAAGCAGAGCCTCTGGTCTTGTACCCAGACCCATCAACAGAGCTTTGTGAAACAGGGCTCGCTGCAAGCCTTGAAGCTGTAGGAATTAGCTGGGGATTAGCTCCCCAAAGCTCCCCATGGAGCGCCGCCTATTCCCAACCACCTTCTGCAAATGTCTGTGGTCCTTTCCTGGACTACACCCGAACACGATTTCCCTCTTGCAGTCTTGGATGGATTTAGTCTCCATGGCACCACCTTCAGGAAATCATGCTCGGGATATATTTCTACATATATAAATAGATCCATAAAATTAATGATGTGTCTGCCTCCTAGGTAGGTCATGCCATTGAGAGGTTGGTGCTGGATGGGAGCTGGGTGCTCACATGGTCTTGAAGATTTGAAGCTGGGCTTTTTTTTTTTTTTTTTTTTTTTTTTTTTTCTTCTGTCCTACGTTTTGCTGTGAGAGCCAAGTGGCTGGACTTGCAATGTGTTTTTAAGATACTGATGAGTTTGGTGTCATCCAAGCCAGGCTGATTTTCTTTCCATTTTCTCCTAGGTAAGACACCAAATTCCTCGCTTGCAGCCGTGTGATGGAGGGTTTGAGGTCTGCACTCTGGGGACGGGCTGTCTCAGTGTTCTTTGGAGCAGAGGTTTGCGTGGTCTCAGGTTGCCCTCTGAATTCTTCACCTCTACATAAAGTGAAGAATCAGTCGGCAGGTTTTGCAATCCTCCTGTACAGGAGGACAACAGGACACAGGTGGCAACTTGAGCCAAGACACTTCGTACAGTGCTTTACATTTTGACTTTACAATTGTACTATTTATCACAGCTCCATGATGAAGCCAATAAAGGTTAATTTATGGTTCAATAAGTATTGTGGATACACATTGTGGACAGTCATGAACTGATGGATGGGCATGGCTGGGTGGTTTTCAATCCTGGGCCAAGGCATTCCTGTTGAGGTCTATTATATATACTTGTTATCGATTCAGTGAGGTTTGCAGCTGGTCTGTGGCAGCTCTGATCTCCGGGTGGCTGATCCTGCTCTCTAATTTGACTTGCACCGGTGTAGATCTGGAACGACTGGCTTGGTTTCCTGACGGTGCAAGTTTTGGAAGTGTCACTGAAGTCAATGACAGCTCTGTGGAGAGGGTAAATTCACGTAGCTGGTTGACTCGAGAGGACTTACACTGCTTCAGCCATCTGAAAATCTGGTTTAGGGAGATTGCTTTGTGTTAGTGCTGGAGTGCTGAGGCCAGAATCTGGCCAGGCCAGAAACTGGAGCATCTGGAGGATGCTAAAGGAGGGATGATCTTTATATTGTGGGTCCATACTTTAAAGCCAAGTTTTTTTTGTTTTTTTTTAACTGTAATCTGAGGGCTCTTGTTTGTTTGTTTTTATTTATTTATTTTACTGTCATTTTTGCAAATCAATAAGTAGCTGGCTTGAAGATGGGCTGTATGTATATGACCATATATATACATAGTATATGACCACATATGTTATATGACTGTATATATATATGATAATAAAGGTGTCATCGTTTGATTCACATGTATTAATTCAGTGAATAGAAGTGAATTTAAAGAACTTTATTTGAAAGAGTACAGTAATTTATTAGACATTAAAACTCATTGTAGGGCTCTTTGCAGTTTATATGAGTCTTAAACTTTGTCATGGTAGATAATAAATACAATGTTTAGATCCGAAGGAGAAGAAGCATGTAATTAACTTGAACATTGTAAAAAAGATATAAAATGAATCAGCAGCATGATGTTGTCTTTAGCAGCTCATAGGCAAGATAAATTCTGGATAATTTTCTTTGGGTTTTCTTGACATATATATATATATCTTTTCCTTTGAAAAGTAACAAAAATATGGGCTAGTTTTAAAAGTGAATATTTGGTAATATAAATACAATTTTACACTCTGAATGGTAACATGATTTTAATTCGCATTGCTCAGTCTAGGAACAGATTACAAATTTATTTTAAAAAATATTTTTGAAATAGTGTTCAAGTGCTCCTTTCTCATTGAAGGACCAAGGTGGAGGACCAGAATCAATATTTTTGCTGTGGCAGACAGTGGGGGCCTTTTTGGCTTCTTTTTTTTTTTTTGACTTCTACAGCAGTGAGGCATCGGGTGGCAACCTCCACACCCAGGAGGTGCCTGTAATAACAACTCTCCGCAGCGCCTCCGAGCTCTTCGTGAAGGGCAGCGACCTCCGCTTGAGCACCAGCTACTGCAGGGGGACATGGAAGGAGCCAGCCAGAAGGAGCACACCCTGGTGTGCTTGTTCCTGTTGCTACACTGGTTGTGTTGGTTTAATGGTGCTTTCCCCCGGGGTTAGAAAACCACCAGGCAGAGAGAGAGCTGGGTGATGGGAGGTCTCCCCAGGAGATGGGTTATCCCCCCCAGCAAAAAGAAAAGGGAGAGAGGGGAGAGGTGAAATGCCCAGCTGAGTGGGTGCTGTCTCCGAAATGGATGTCAGATTTTTCTCCAGCTCCTCTCTTGGCCTGGGGGGGTTCGGCTACACCTTCTCTGACATCCCCCTCGGCAGGGTCTGCGGTGAGTGCAGCTCCACCGACTGCCGCCGGCGGACCTCGCGCTCTGCCCAGTCCTCCTCTGGCTCCAAGCCCTTGAAGATGGCAAGTCTCTCCGAGAAGGTTTTGGACTGTGGGAAGAGGATGTAATTGTAGAGGATGGAAGCTGCTGCTGCCCCGATCAGAGGGCCCACCCAGAAGACCTGGTGAAAAGAGAAATAGAAGAATTGGGTGAGCAAATGTCTTCCTACACCACTGATCTAAACCACCACAGATCCGGCTTTGAGTGCGCTCTTTGCAGATGGAAATTCCTTGGAGCATCCCTGAAAGAAATGGTGGAAAAGGCAATGCCCAGATCCATCCGCAACCAGGAAAGGTTCCCAGGATGTCAGGAAGAGCTCCACTCTCTACTGGTTTTACTTCTTGTGCTAAGTCATGGTCAACAAACCACACACCCTTTTCCTGTCGCAACTCACCCTGCTTAGATAAGCTAATTAAGCATCCAACAGCCCCACCTCTTTCTGTCTCCCAAATTTCTGCAAATTTCTGTCTCCCCTTCAGCTGGTGCTGAAGTGCCACAAATATGGCTGGCTTTTCGGTTCTCTGGGAATATTGGTAATGCGGGGGGCCGTTCTCACCAAACCAACGCAGAGACCCGACTTCTTACCCAGTGGTCACTGAAGTCTCCAACTATCACAGCAGGGGCGAAAGATCTGGCTGGATTCATGGAGCAGCCGGTGTAACGGATCTGCCGAGAAACACCAAGCTTATTGTTAGCTTTAAGCTCTTTTACCGCATTATTTTAAAATATCCCAGTGTGTTATTAGCGTGATTCATCCACCAAGCTGATGCTTCACATCCCAGCCTGCCCTGTTCCAGGAATAGTGATGCTACCAGCTTCCAGCGCCTGAGTCAACACGTGTGAGTTGTATTTGTGCACCTTCTGCGCGAGCGTATGTGTCCCGTGCATGGTGCAGCTCAGCTGTGGCTGGGCAACGTGCCCTGCAGTGTGACAGGGACTGTGAGGACAAGTTCCTGCTGTTTCTATTCCTGGAGCACGTTGCTACTCCTTGCCACTGCGGATTGCAGGAAGAATATCCCATAGGCACATGGGCTTGCAGATCAGTAAGGATCTGCTTTAATCCATGTGTTGAGAAGCTGGGTGTGTTGGGGGCTGATGTTCCCAGCAAAAGTCCTCTGGGAGGGATTTCCCTGGCTGCTCACCCTGCATATTTCCCTGTCCATGTTTATCATGGTCTTGAGAGTCTCAGTTCCCTTCAGGATAGAAGACCCCATGGAGCTCCTGAAGGGATGTGAGGAGTAGCAATGCCCAGCAGGTTATGCTTTTTTCACATCCAATAAAACCTGAGCTCAGGTTTTGGCTCTGTTATGGCTTTGGAGGGATCTTTCTGCTCCAGCCACTGTAAAATCACGGTCACAGCATCAGTTACAAATCCCCTGACAACCACAGGACATGCAGCCAAGCAAGCTTTGGGCACAAAGGCAAAGACAACCCTCAAAATGTTGTGTTTTGACCCATTCTACCCACCCCAAGGAGATGTCCAACAGTGACGGAAAGGCCAATGGACAGGGCGGGGGATCCCAGGTTGTCCTCCCGGCGCTCATCGGTGGAAGCGAAGATGCACAGGACCAGCTGGAAGGTGAGGAAGAGCTCGACGGTCACCGCCTGCCCTGTCGTCGTCTCGTTATGCAGCTGGAAGGGGAGGAGAAACATCTCAGGGATAGGCAAGTTTGGTGACTGGGTTGGAAATTTGGAGGGGGAACCAACAGGGACATAGGAAACAGGTGAAATTTTTGGCATCGATATGAAGAGGAGGAAAATTTTCCTAAGGAGAAGTGGCTCAATGGTAACGCTTGATTGACATGGCAGGAAATGTTTTTGTGGCATCTTTTCTGGCATTATTTTTCCACTCTTCCTTTGACCTGAGGGTTTCTTTTTCTTTTCCTCATGCTTAAAATACAAAATGCCTTTTAGAAAATTGTATGAATTACTTTTCAGAAATGTCAAAAAGAAATGTTTTGGCACACAAAAAAATCCCTTTTTCATTCCCACTCTTTTTTGACTGAAAGAATTTGTCAGATTTGGTCTGAAGCTGTGCCTAGTTGCACACCCTCTTCTCCATCTCTACTTTCTGGCACTTTATTATTCCTTGAAGGTTTTTAATCCAGATCTGGATGGAATTGGCAGTGCTGCTGGGCAGATACGTGGTTTGCAGCCCCCTCTCGCTGTCTCTTCCCTTGGCCCATACTGGCACTTCTCTTGGCACTTCTCTGCCCTTTCTTTTCCTGTGTCACCCCTGCTTTGGACACCACGCATCCTCCCAAATGCTGATCCCAAGAGTGCTTTGCTTGGTGACGCTCTGAAAGCAGCAATTGTCCTCCTGGCCAACATCCAGAGCTGGATCTCTCTCTGATATTCCTTTTTTTTTTTTTTTTTAAAGGATAATTTGTGCAGGCAGCTACAAGATGAACAGCCCACAGGGGAAAAAAATAAAATCCTATTCCTCTTTCAGGTGACTTAAGCTCTAAAACAGCAGAGCTGGGTGTTTTGAAAGTCTCTCTTAAAACTCTTACTTGCTTTGTTGGGTTTATTAAACCTCAGCTATTATCAATCTAAATATTCTTGTTCAGACTAATCCCCAATCCCTTTTTCAACCCTCTTAATCTCTTTGGCGGTGAAGCTGGGTCTGCCTCTCTGCTGCTAGCTGACTGCTGCGAGAAAAGGGATTTCCGTGTGCTGTCTCCTGAACACGCTGCCTTCCTCCTCCTCACCGCCTGCCTTGGTTTTGGGCGATGCTGCTCCTGGCACGGGCGTTTCTGCAGGAGATGTGTCTGCCCCCATGCCAGCTGATGCTGGCTTCCCATCCAACAGTCACTAAATGTCCTTGCTGGTCACAAAGCCTTTCTTTTCATCCCTCAGCCATCCCTGACCTCCTGCCCAAACTTTTCTGCTCCTTTCCAAGCCCGTCCGCAGCCGGTGCTCTTACCTTGTTGATGGCTAAGCCTTCCTGGGAGTCTGCTGGCGTGATCTCATGTAGGATGGCAGCCCCCACAACAGCCCCCAGGAGCTGGGCCACCACGTAGAAGACTGCGCGGAGGAAGGAGACGTGGGAGCCGATGAGGCAAGCCACCGTCACCGCTGGGTTGATGTGGGCTCCGCTGATGTGCCCCAAGGCTTGGACCAGTGTGCTGATGGCCAAGCCAAAAGCCAGTGCGATTTGGAGGATGCTCGGGGAGGAAGCTGAGGGCCAGTTCAGAGCAGAGCCCAGACCAAAGAGGATGAAGACCAAGGTCGCCAAAAATTCTGCAAGGACAGCCCGGGTGAAGGCTACGGATCGGAGTTCCCACATCATGGAGAGGCCGTTGCTGGAGGCTGCAAGGACTGACCCTGCCCGCGGTGTCCAAAGGCAATCGCCACTGTCACTTCTGTGTCCAGAGAGAATGGCGGGGGGACAAGATGTTTATATATGGATGCAGGATGCCGAAGGGTCGCCTGCTGAAGGAGGTGGGATCGTGGGCATAGGAAACCTGACGCTTTTCTTCACTTGTGTTCCAGCTGAGGGAACTTCAGACTCTGCCCCCTCTATTAAAGCTGGGGAATGCAGCGCTCGCCATCCTCGGGAAGTCATAAATCAGCCTCGAGCGATGCCATGAAGTGCTGCTCCCTCTCCCCCCCCGGTCCTATCACCTGCAGCACAGGGGACAGAGAAGGCAAGGAAGGAGGCTGGAGAGAGAGAGGTGGAGCTGAGCTGGGAGCCCAGGATCATCCACCCCAGCCTTGGTGGAAATCTCATTCCAGTGCTGGCCATCTCACAGGCTGCTGTTGTCTCCTTCCTATCCTCTTTTCAGTTTCCATTACTGTGTTTGTTTATGGCCAATGGCTAATTTTTAGTGCTTTTAACTCAGGTCTGGGTGTTCCTGATTACCATCTGTAAACTTTGTGCGATACATCTCATGGTCTCGACCGATGCATGGGTGAACAGCCCCAACCACCCCATCACGCCTGGCTCTGTCAATGGCACAAAGCCTGCTGCGAGTGCCCACAGCGTGGAGAGGGTCGACTTGTGCCAAAAAGGCAAATGCAGGCAATGATTAAACAACCAGGCAAAACTGGATTCATAAGAGGCCCTCAGAGGCACCAAACTCCAAGTGGCTTACTACTACTCAGAGAACCACAATTTTATAGCCCAGGCACAGCTTTCCTAACCAGAAAAATGGGAACCAGCCCCTAGAAATGACTGTCAGGAAAGAAATTGTAGTGTGAAAAAAAATGACACGCACAGCTGGAGTACCGGCTGTGCTCTAATTATGGGGATTTGGGCCAACTCAGCTCTTAGAAATGTCTTTTTACTTCCTGGCATTAATCTCCAAAAGAGGAATTTTTCTTCTCTGGAGCATGGTCCCTTCCCATCAAACCAGTTACCCAACAATTCCATTTTACTTCTATTGCTTAGGACACATTTGTCCACTGGTGATAACTGTAAGGCATTCTGCTCCTGATGTCATGGGGGTTGTTGGCAAAAATAGCCTTTTCTTTGCCTTTTTTCCCCTCTTGCTAGCAGACTCCATAGTCATTCTGAAGTGCAGAAAGCTGGGAGGAGTGTTCCCCCAGGGTAGAGCTGGAGATAAAAGGACTGTTTCATCTTATATTTGGCTCTGAAAAACGCTTCCGCTGTACGACAAACTAAATATTTTTCCCCTCCAGAGGAACCGTGCAAGTGCCACCGAACTGACGTGAAAGATTGATGTAAAATACTCCTTATTGTTCAAACTGCACGTGAAGGCCTGCTTTTTTCTCCACGGAAGGTGGGCACGAATACTTGTCCTCTCTTAAAAATAAGAAATAAAAAAAGACACTTATGGGGACATTGCTCTTAAGAATTGAGAGATTGTGGGGAGAACAAGTCCAGTCAGTGGGTGAGTCTGGAAGACCTGGATTCAACCTTTTCCTCTGAAAATCCTTCTCTGCAACTTCCTAAGTGACTTCAGCATGTCGTGGCATTGCTCTAGGCTCTGGTTTTCCAGCAATGAAGCAGCTCTCATAAAACGGGTTGTGGGGCTAAATACGTTTGGGGTGCTGGTAAGCCACAGAAACACGGTCACATCCAGGCTGTAGGCTCGTGCTCCTCCCTGCCTGGGACAGGTCTGCAAGCTTTGCGTTGCTCAGGGACTGATTGCAGGTGCAGGCTGTTACCAGCGTAGGGAATGACAGATAACTAATGTTGACAATTAACCAGAGCTGATACCCTCTTTGATTAATAGTTGTTCATGGTGAGCTAGGTGTGATGTATCAGTGCTTAATGAAGACTAATTAAAAGGAAAGAGAAGCAACCAGGATTAGCTCTGAGCAACTTAGAAACCTGATGCAGCCTCATGGTCCTTACTTTTAGCTGGTGATGTGAGCGTTTGTTGAAGCTTTTGTTTACCTGCTGTTCTGGGATGCTTGTCCTATGGACGGGGGCTTTCAGTCACACACCGTGATGAGGGAGCTGACCTTGCATCGTGAGCTGTCTGCACAGGCTGCATGGGAGCTTGGTGTTGTGGGCTTTGCTGTAGGGTCGAACAACCTTTCTCTGCAAGATGCTGCTTTCCAGAAAGAATAATAGCATGTTTCAGCTTTCCTCCAGGGACCTCTAGCACTGAAGGGACTGTAATCCTTCTGGTTTTGCAATGAGGGAGCCTGCGGCACGATGCCAGGCTTTGCTGCTGCCAGGCAGTGAGCTGGGCAGAGCCAAGGCTTTCTGCCTAGCTGTGCGGTACCGCAGCCGTGCTCCTGCCCTATGCCTGTGAAGCGGAGAACATGGGAGATGGAAGAACAAGGAGAGCTTGATACGGGTCTGCTGAAGCTCTGCTGGTATCTAGGAAGGGTTTCTGGAGCTTCTGGTGTTGGTGTGTGGAGCAAAGCCATGTTACCATCAAGTGTGCTGCAGCTTTGGGAGCAGCGAAGAGCTCTGCAGGTCTGTAGTGAAGCCAGGTGAGATGGGAACGTGAGTTATTCTGCCATTTAATCCACAGCCCATGGCGTGTAATAGCACTATCAGCCCTCCCCTGGGACCAAACGTGAATGTTCATTAAGAACATGTTGGCGTCTGTGGAGGGGTGATAATGCTCTGCTTCCTCCCGATGGCAGAAAATGGCTTGGTAACATGTTTTTGAAGAATATTTTGCAAGCAAGGGAGCTGTGCTTGCACAACAACGTACTTGAGTGACTTAGATGGCTCAGATATCTCTGCTTCCCTGGCTTTCAGGAAAGTATAAACATCTTTAAGGTATCTCCATTCCATCTAAAATACCTCCAAGCCACAGTGAATAAAAGATTTATTGCATAAATAATTGTGTGAGTTTTCCTGCTCGGATGTGATCTGTTGCAGGAGGTACATGTGCTGCCCAGCCCTTGCTGGAAGCTCCTTTTTTTGTTCTTTTCTACAGGTGGAAAGCGACTGCAGACAACTCCCCCTCCTCTCCAACAAATGAACCCCCACCCGTGCTTCACGTGGTAGGAAATGTCCTGCTTATTAGACACTGGAGAATCCACAGCCAGACTACATCCTGGGGAAACTTTCTAGAAACCCAGGTATGATGAGTTCTGCTGGTGGTGGAAATAGATGTTTTCTTTCCAAGAATTGAGGTATAAGACTGAATATGCAACCTTTAATTGCTCACTAGGAGAAGCCAAAGGAGGAAACATTTTTTGATCCAAAAGAACCAGGGGAGCCTTACCTCTTCCCCACTCTTGGCTGGAAAGCAGGCAGAGCAGAAGATAAAGTCTGCATTCCCCAAAGAGAGGTGACCATCAGGAAAAGTTATATTCTCCCACTGTTGTATTGCCTCAAAAGGACCTTCACCCAGAGGAGCAAAATGGAGGAAAATCAACACCTTTTCCGGTATTTTGTGCCAAATCCTAAATCCCTATTCATGCAAAACTTCTGCTGGCTCTCACAGTGTTTATTGTTCTTGTTTTAATTGAAGCAGAGGGATTAATGCAGCCCTGATTTCCTTCGCTGACTTCAATGAATTGAGCTTGAGTGTGGGCCGGGAACTGGGCCTGGTGTTAGGAGAAGGCTTCATTTTATTTTCTATATATTCGAGGCCCATCTTGAGGCCTTGCAAGTTCAGTCCTGAATGCTTGCCCAGGGCCTTAGTCCAGGTAGATGGTGAGATGGTGCTGGTGGAGCTGGGTATGGATCACCTCAGGATCAGTGCACTCCTCTGATGCTCTTATAAAACCCTGACATCCGTGAAGGCCATGAAGCCTTCCATCCCAGCATGATCTGATCTCTGTATGCCACCTAGGCAGGGATTTAATTTTTTCCTTGTGTGATCTGCAGGGAAAAATCATTTTAATTTCACTAACAACATGTTAATGAGATCTATAACATACAGAAGTGGGGAGAGGGAGAAACCATTGTTTCTGACTGCTTACCTGTGCTGCAGGACGTTTTGGCTGCTATCTCCTGATCTCTGCTGGCAGGGAAGCGGGAGTGTGTCTGGCAGCACAACCTCCGAGAAGAGGCTGTTATCTCAGCATCTTTCCTGCGGGACTGCTCGGCTGGTGTGTCGCCAGGTGAGTGAACATAAACCGGTCACTGTAAAATCCCTCTAACAACCCGATGGGATTGATGGGGAAGGAAAAGAGTGCTTGGCTTGTGAAAACAGCATCTGTCATCTGAGAACCAAGGTCAGTGCCGTGATCCTCGTTGTACAGCCAGGTAAAGGGAGTAGTGAATGGGATCTGGGGTGTCAGATCCTTGAAGCATATAAACTGGAGAGGAGCATTGGCAGCTCCTCCAGGATGTAGCTGGAGAAGTCCAGCATGTGGAAAGCATTGCTCTCTCCTGGGTGGGACTGAGCTGCCTGGGGAGCTCGGCGTTTCTTTTGTTGGTCCAATGGAACTTATAAACTTGCTGCAGTGCAAATCCAGGAGGAGTTGGGTCTTGCTGGGGGAATCATTGTCATACACCAGCAACTGTCGAAAGCCCATGCAAAGAACACACACCAAGACTGCAAATATTCTAATATAGGTTGCTGCAGAGCGCAGGAGCCCTGGTCATGGACGAGGACAGCCTGGTATAAGACTGTGCAAATACAGAAGCAATCAACAGTGCCCATCTGAGATGCAGCAAAGCCATCAAAACTTCCCTTTTTCTCCATCTCTTCTCCCTGCTAATTGCTTGGGTCCTGGGTGTCAGGCTGCTGCATCACCACGATGGCATGGATTGTTTGTTGTGTGGGCTCGTAAGAATTTAAATAAATAATTAAATCCTGTGCACACCCCTGAATTGTGTTATATAAAGTACCTTCATGATATTTTAAAGAAGAAACTGCACAGTGGCATGAAGGTGTCACTCCACACATCACCCAAACCTGTTCTCTTCCCCCACTCCCAGCAAGGGCATACTTGTGCAATTGCTTTCGTTTAAAAGCATTTAATGCACATGATGGTGGTAAGAACATGTTCTTCTGGGAGCGATGAGTGAAATGCACTCCTGAACAGCTGAACGATTTAATCCCAGGGAGTGCCTCATCTTTATGTTTATCTATTTGGTTGGTTGGTGTATGTGCGCGTGTTGTTGTTACTCTCTGACGTGGTTTCTAGGTATCACAGATTTTGTTTCCGTTTATTTTTTAACCTCACCACTGTTCCCCATAATTCAATGAAATCACACACCAGCTCTGGAGGCGTTTTAAAAAAAAAAATAGGGCAAGGTTTCTCCAAGCACCCAGATCCTGGCACTGTCTTAGCCCCTTGGCATGGGCAAACAATTGCAGGCAACTGAGCAGCTTGATCAGATAATGGCCCCCAGCTGGCATGCAGCTACTGCCCACCACTGCGTTTTGAGGCTGCTCTAACTGAAATGCCCTTTCGAGGTGTGGAGTCCAGCTCTCCCAAGCAACCCCAATGCAGTTTTTGTTGTTTTAACCCCATGTCCTGAAAGGGAAGGAGTGGTCAGCTTGAAAGGAAGAGAATGGAAATTTGGTCTCCCTCTGCGGTTAATGTAAGTACCTCAAACTGTTCCAAGACTCCCACCTTCAAGGGTGGTGAATGTAAAACCTCACCCAATACCTTTGGGAGTGTGAGAGGGGATCACCCTGGTACTGATGAGCTTAAAAGCCAAGGGATAATTGTCCCCACAAGGTGAAGCTTGGGGATGCCCACCCTGTGCCTGGGATGCTGGCAGGATGGGTGACAACAGTAGGGCAAAGCCCCTCAGGCACAAGTGGATTTTTTTCTTTTATCCTTTCAAAGCCCTTTTCATGCATGCCTGTTAGTCTCCCATCCTGGGACTGGACCTGGTGGCAGGATTTCGCATCAATAATCTGTGGATAATTCAGGAGCCTTGAAAGCCTGGAGTAAATTCCTGTTTTTCTATGTCTTTTTGAAGTTTATGGCAGAGCATTCATTGCCAGTGGGGCATATTCCCTCTTGGGAGTGGGGAAAACTCATTTGCAGTTGTGTATGTTGTTGCAGCAGACCCCTTAATTATCTCATCAGGCTTTCTTTACCTTGTTTTTGATGTGATTGAGTGTTCAGCAAAGTTGTTTTAATCCCTGTGAAATCCCCTGTGGATTTGACAGGGTGTGGCCTTGACAGATGTACTTTTATTGTTGAGTATTAAGGGTGAATGTGTGCAGGCAAACAGCCACCTTGCGTGGCCTAATGCTGAGGACACCGGATGGCTGCAGCGATGCTGTGCTCGAGCACCTGTGGCTCTCACCTGTACTTTCCCCTCCTAATATGTCTATGAGATTGGGAAAGGAAGGTGACCTAGAGAAAATGACCCTGGTAGGACTCTGGCATGTTTAAGAGCTTCCAGCATCAGCAGGAAAGCAGGGAACCAAGCTTGGATCAGCTTTTCTGATGGAGAAGGATGCTGAAGGACTTTGGTTTTGTTGTTCTCAGCTGGGCAGTTACCTCTGCATTCTCCATGGCAGAGATGAGATGGTTCAAGCCTTGCAGCCCACGGCTCTCCCAGCTTATTTTCCTGGCTGGGAAAAGGGACGCTGGTTTCCCAGAGCCCCATGAAAGCAGTCCGTGTTGGTGCTGGATTTTATCTGGGGCTGGACAGTGAGGGAAGACCAAGATACCCCTGGGAGCTCGGGAGTGGGAATGGCCCTGGTAGACAACAGGGTGCCGGGAGGGAGCTTGGTTTTCCTTCCGTGCTGCTTTTAATTTAGAGGGAGGCTGTTGTGGTAGGCAGTGCCATCTGTTTTTCTTTGAGGGTTTTTCCTCTTCCAGACACAGTATTTTTGCTCTTTGAAGCATCTTCAGCCTGGGCTGGAGCGTGTGGGGTCCTGCGTTATCCCACCAAGGAATCTGGTTTGTCTGGGGGCTGCGGCCAGAGTGAATCCCTCTGGGGTTTGTAGGAAAATGTGTGTCTCCTTTCTCCCCGTGATGCCATGCGTCACGTGGAGTTTCTGCTTCCAAGCCCTTGACCCCTTGGCTCATCCCGAGCTGGATGGTGACCGATGGCAGTGGCACCGTGAGCTGAGCATCGTGCTGCTTCCCTGTGCTCGGCCGCATCAGCGAGAACCTGACCTGCTGGCTTGAGTTTCTCTCCCTCGCTTCAGACCTGCCCAGTTTTATGCCTCTGCTCAGCCTCGAGGAGAATGAAAGCCCTTGAGGAGCTTGTGGTTAACAGGCACCTAATTGATTCTGAATAATCCTGACAAGTTTTTGCAGCCCTTGTGGTAATCGGCTCTCTTTCTGATTGAATAGCTTGGGCTAGGTCTGTATGGATGCCAGCTGTACATTGCTTGACTGCATTCTTTCATTTCCAGCTCATGCTTTTATTTTAACCCTTCCACTGCCCCTTTCTTTGCACAGCCTGTAAATTATGATTGATATATATATATATATATTATTTTTGAACCTCCTTGTAGGCAGCCTAGTCTTCATCTTCTCTAGGAGTGCTTTTTAGGGAGCCTGAAATATGTCTGTGTGTGTGGCAGGGTACACGGGTAACCCCATTTTTTTGCCTTCTTTATAGATTTGGCCAACAAATGCCAGATGTGATGCCTGCTCATGGAATGAAGAGCAGTAAAATAGCAGAGTTCACTTGGGAAGGACGTGAAAATGACTTGGAGGGGCTGGGGAAGCAGCCGGGGAGGATACAGCTCCTGGCACAGCTCCTGGTCTGGTGGAATCTCAGGACTTCCCCAAAATGTGCTTTCATTTTGTGGGAGCGTGGTGCGAGCCCATTCTGCCAGCATCTCTCACCCATGGCAAGCCTGTCTGCGTCTGCCCATGTGTTCAGACGGGGTGTGCTCTGCGTGTGCCGTCTGCCCCGGGCAAACCTGTCTGTGTGAAGCACTTCACTAAGGAAAGGGGGAATTTTGTTCTCTCCTGTGGCTGGGGGGAGGGAAGTGGGGGTGTCTCCATCTGCCCGTGCCCTCCGGGCTGTAATCCCCCTCCCCACCTCTCCCAGGTACTGTCATTGGGGGGGCAAGCCCCCATTCACTCGGTGCCCCTTACTTTTAACGTGGAGACTCCCGGTTCAGCTCCCTGCTTCGTGGATTCAGTACAGCAACAATATTGCTTCTGTGGTGGGGGCTGTGTGGTGCTGGAGGTCTGCTGCCTCCCCCCCTGCCCCTCCAGGACACCTCCAAGCCCTCCCCGTGACCCCCAGCTGGGGCTGCCTGGGGAGCACAATGCACATGGGGCAAACAAGCCTCGTCCTCTCTATCCCGCTCTGTTCAAAGCCTGAAAAGGGTCACGAAGAAAGCCAGGGCTGTGCACGATTCCTCCCTCCTGCTCTTGTGTTACAGAGCTCGGCTCAAGGCTCTCTGCCCTGGTGAAGCATCCAGCCCCCTGCAATAGCCCTCAGTGCTCTGTGCCCAGCTGCAGCAGGGCCCACTGGTTGCTGCTGCTGCTCCCCAGCCCACGGTCGGCTCTGAGGTGCGGTGGTGGAGAGATGCTGCAGCAAAGCATCCTCTGCATCTCCCTCCCCTTTGCAATCCCAGCCCCGAGTTCAGCATCCCAGGGGCAGCTGCTTCCCACCCTGCGGCTGCCTCCCCAGCGCTGCGCTGTGCATCTTCCCCAGCGTGCATCCTCCCCATCACTGCCGGTGGCTGCTTGTCTCTGGTTTTGTCATTTTTAGCTCTTTCTTTCCCGGCTTCCCCCTGTGCTGCAGGCTGGGAATGGTACGGTCCTCCCTCCAGCTCCCGTTGCTCCGTGGATATTGCTAGAAGGTGAAGGCATCGGCACACGCTGCGGAGGCTGCAGCGGCTGCAGCCAGCCCCGAGACACCCGGGAGGGGAGGCAGCAGGGGCTCTGCGTGGAGGCTCCTGCTCAGCTACGGCCTTCTCCTTCTGCCAGCCTCACGCAGGGGCTGCCTGCAACCTTAGCGAGGCACCATGACCCAGGGCAAGGTAGGTGGGAGGCCAGCGCTGGGCTGATGGGTCGTCATGCGTGCAGAATTGCTGCGTGGCTGGGGGGGGTGACTGGGTTGGAGTGAGGGGGTTTAAGGGATAAAAGAATTGCTGGGGGGGGGGGGGGGCTGGGTACCAGTGGAAAGCCTGGTCTGGGGTGCACTGGTCCCTGTGTTGGGGGGTCGTTTTGGCAGAGAAAGGGGATGGAGGTGATTGTGGGGTTGGGGGCTGGTTTTCCTGCTGCTGGATGTGGAGCTCAGCCCTGCCATGGGAGCTGTGGCCGTTTCTTCCACCCATCCCTGGATGCTGGGGACCTCTGCGGGGTTCTTGTGCTTTTCCATCCATGCTCCAGCACTTGGTACCTGCCTTTAGCACCTCCTGATATGGGGAGCTCTGGGTTTTGGGGTGCCCCAACGCTCTGCTTCCTGGGAGAGGGGGGGGCAATGCATCCTCTGCCAGCACAGTGCAGCATTGCCATGACAACGAGGCTGGAGGCTGCCTGGATGCAGGCAGTGCTGGCCCTCCTGCATCTCTTTGCTCATCTCAGGGGTCTTGGGTGCTCTTGGCTACCACGTCCCTGAGGGCAGAGGAGGTGGCACAGTTATCCTGAAGCAGCTGGGTCAGCTCGTGGTGTGCATCCTAGGATACTCTGAAGGGCTTGTTGCACCTTTTAAATTAAGACCTTTGTGCAGGGACTGTGCTGTCGGCCCCAGGGCTTGTTAGTCTGTCTCCTGCATTTTGCACTTTTTGGGTCCTGTGACCCAGGGGGATGCTGTCCCTGATGATGAGCTGGCACCTGCAGCAGGGACAGGGCACCAGGCTCATAGCTTATCCTGGGACAGCAAAGATACTGCTAGAAGGTTAAAGAGATAATGTTACAAGGAGAAGAAAGCTGTTGGATGTCCTGATATGGAGCTCAACCCTGCCATGGGAGCTGTGGCCATTGCTCTTTGCTGGGACTTCGTAGTCTGATAATGTGGGTTCCCAAATCCCTTAACTGCATCTCCAAATTGCGGAAGGCAGAGCGGCTGAGCCGCTAGATGGGCAGAGAGGAACAAGTTGGTTGGCAATTTCTGGGGTCTTGGAGAAACTCCCCCAAATGTGGTTGTAAGTGAAAATGAAGGAGCTGAGGTGGTGTGTGTGTGTTTTGTCTAGAAACTGCAAGTCTTTATTTTGAGGGGAAATTCAGTAACAAGTAGGCAGAAATGCAAAAAATGAGTTGGATGCTTTCCAGTGTTACACTTGAGCCTGAGGCACGAGGACAGCTCTGGGCAAGGCTGCCTCTACCCTCAGACTTGCTTGGTTAGCTACAGTTTTTCATCCCCTTTGTCATGCTGAATGTTTTCTCATCTCTTCCTCCATCAGTCAGAGGATTCTTGCTCCTGGGGGTGTGGAGATGGGTCCGACACCAAGAGCTGCTGGGTCTCCTCTCTCTGGTTCCTGGGACCAAATGGAGGAGCCCCAGACCTCTGCCCACGCCTTTCTGGGTTCCCATTGCAGGGCTGTTTCTGTGCCATTTTATAGTCTAATCTCATTTTTATTTATTTATTTATTTATTTTTCCCACATTTCTGTGCAGCTGTCTGTGAACAACAAGCCCCCCAACCCTGAGGGACAAGGGGAGAAGAAGGACAATGCCACGGCTCCACCAGCCCCTCCGACCTACGAGGAGGCGACAGCAGGAGAGGGGATGAAGGCCAGCGCTTACCCTCCTCCCCCATCGGTCCCGCTCCACCCCAGCTGGGCTTACGTCGACCCCAGTAAGTCCTGTGGCTGTACCCAGGGTGAGCCCCTTGCAAAGAGGGGAGAGGGCTGCAGAGATTGCGCTGGGGCTTGTAAAGGAGAGAGGAGCCAGGGACGTGGCAGCCAGTGTGAGCCATGGTAGAGCTCACTGTAGAGTTATGGCTATTAGCTATACATATAATTAAATAATAATATTAAAGGCCAGATTGCCAAAGCACTAAACCACGCTGCCTTCCAGATATGGGACTAAACCCCTGTGCTTTATCCCTTTCCAGTATGGGGATGGTGAAATCCTGGCTCCCAGCTTGCCGCACTGGGCAGTGCCAGCTCCCAGGGCTGGGGAGCATCCTGGTGTGGTGCCCCCAGCTCTGCAGGCTGCAGCCCCCCCCTTCCAGCTCCTGCTTCTTTCACAGAAGCTGCTGAAGCGGCAGAATTGACATTGTGGCATCAGTGATGTCTGGCTGCTGCGGGCGGGTGTTCAGAGCCAGCGGAGGTTAAAACCCCGCTGGACTCGGAGGCTGAATTGTTCCAGCAGTCGGTTTGCATGGCCACGAGCATGACCCCTGGGCAAACAAGAAGCTTTTCTTCCTGGCTGCCACGTGCAGCCTCCGCTCGGGGCTGTGACAAGCGGACAAAGGTCCGGCTGTGCCCGATGCAGGGGAGCCAGGGGACGCAGGATGCAGCGGCTGGCAGGAGGGAATGAGCACGCGGGGCTGCTGGGGGCAACTGCTCTGTCAGCATGGCTTTAGCTGCAGAGAGTGCAGAAATTTAGGACCAGGGCCTTGAATTTGGCTTTGCTGGTGTCTGCAAGCCTGTCTTCAGTTTGTGTGGGCTTTGCCTCCATCTGCCCAAAGGATCCGAGTATCCCTGAGCTATAAAGCTTTGAGGAGGAGAGACATCTGCCAAACAGGCAGGGATATGAATGCATAGCTGGCGTAATCACACAAGCTTGTTTCTATAGGAAACCCAGCTAGAAGTCTTAGTAACACAGGTGGGGGGATTTGCAAGAGAAGTAACATGGGAACAATGTGCTAAGATCATTCAGATCTTATCATCAGATGTGGTTTCAGGATTTAATTTTTTTCTTAAACATGAGGTTCAGGAGTGGGAGAAGGTTGCAAGAAACTCCAGCAACAAGAGCTTGTATCACAGAGCCCTCAGCACAGCAGAGGTGGGCTGTGTGCTGCGGTGGTTTTGGGGGAAGGCTCCCCCAGCAGCTGCACTGGAGTTCTTTCCCCTTGCTTAGGCTTGCTCACAAACTGGTCTGGCTGTGTGCATAGAAACTGGATTCAGGGATGGCCCTTCTGAAAAAGCTGGCTGAAATGAGCTTCTCCCAGAGAAGAGGGCACGCTCTTGACATAAAAAATGATGCAGACACAACCGAAGCTCAGGCAATTACGGAGCAGCGAGGGAATCCTCCTGCACCGGAGCTCCTGATGGGAATGACTGCGGTGCTGAGTCACAGCTCCTCTTGGGGGTGGTTTAATGTTCTGTGAAAGGTGAATGAGGAGATGGTACAAGACCTCTGTCATTAAAGAATTGCTGTTATTGTAGACAGGAATAAACCCTGGCATCCTTGTTGTGTTGGGGCTTGCAGAAGTATTTTCCCCCCTTTTTGTTCTTGGAGATGCTCCTAGTATGGTACAGGAATGAGAAGGGAACGGAGCACACCCCAGCACACCTCACTTTCATGGTGCAATAAGAAAAAAATAAAAATTGGGCCTCCTGAACTGTAATCGATCACTGGGGTCAAATTATTGTGGCTTGGGAGGGAGCCAGGCGATGGGAGCTGATCTCTGGCTTCTGCTTCAGGCACGAGCCCCAGCTATGGCAGCGGCGGGTACCCCGGGGACACGGAGATGCTCACGACCTTCAGCTGGGATGACAGGAACGTGCGCAGGGTGTTCATCAGGAAGGTAAGGGGCAAGAGCCCAGAGGAACCTGGCTGCTCTGGCCTGGGCTCCCCTGGACCACGGAGCTGCTCGGAGTTGGGTGGGCAGTGGGGAGCCTGCGGCTCGCCCATGGGCTGCCTCTCGTTCCAGGTTTATGCCATCCTGATGGTCCAGCTCTTGGTGACTCTCGTTATTGTGGCTTTCTTCACCTTCTGGTAAGTCTGGTGTAGCCGTAATGCTCGCTTTGTACCATGCATGATCTGCTCCTGTACGACCCATTACGCAGGGTAATTTCTGTTCTGTAGGTACGTGAATTATTTCAGGTACTGCAACATAAAAACAAGACTGAGGGGTCCCTGAGAGGTCCTTCTGCTATCTCCCCTGAGCAGGGCATCGTCCCTTCTGGGTGCCATCCCCAGCAGAGAGACCCGAGCTGCTTGCCCTTGCATTTAACTGCTGCTTCAGCCGTGCCCTGTGTCTTTTCTCTTTCGGGAGTTATCGATGCCATCAGAGCCCCAGCTAGAGGGACTGGGTTACCTGCCCTCGCAGAAGCGGATACTCCACGTTCGCGCAGCTAGCTCAGGTGGCTGAGCATTTTGGGCATGTGCAGCTCATGTTGCCTCCAGAATAAATAATGAATCACTGTCAGCCCGAGGAGCCGACCTCCTTAATCACTCCTTGGAGAAAGCAGCAGCCACGCCGCGAGCAAGTCCAACGGTGTCACTGATAACAGCAGGGCTGTCCTTCTGACCTGACAGCTGGAATTTCTTTTCAGGTGGCTGGTCTGCTGGGTAGAGTCCGCTGTGTTTTTGCACATATCCCCACTCTGTGTCACCCCGTGCACATTCCCGGGTTTAATTTAGCAGCAACCTGTGAAGTGATTGGCATTTTTATGCTCTGCTCAGTGTCCCTTTTCTGTCTTGCAGCGAACCGGTCAAGGGGTACATTCAGACACATTCTGCTTGGTACTGGGCTTCCTAGTGAGTATCTCTGTCTTCTCCTCTGGCTATACATGCTCTGAACAGCTCTGGATGTGGCTGTAGTGATGCAGAAATGCTTTCCAAACACTTTTGTGTCTTGCATTTGAGGAGTTACTCCAATTTGTTTGCAAGGCAAGCCAGGGAAATTCATGGATATTTTTGATTTGAGAACAGAAAAAGAAAACTTCACTTAAAAGAGTCTGAGACATGACATGGGCTGGATACCTCCAAATAATTGCCAAAAGAGGGCTTATTGCTCTACAAACCAGGGTCAAAGTAAATATATGAGTATTGCTTGCAGAGCAAACTGTGTAAAATGGAGGAGCTTCTAAGTAAGTTCTGCAGAAACCCAGATGTGAGAGCTGAAAATACACAGTGGGTACCTTCAAGGCTTCATTTTGCATCCTCCCATTGACAGCAAGGAGGTTGCCTGGGTTTGTACCACGTGTCTTGATAAGCAACAGATGAAGAAGGATGTGGGCAGTGTCAGGGTGGGTGCATTTGGAGATATCAGGGTGAGTCTGGCCCTGTTTCTGTCAGGGCTGTCACGCCAGACTCATCATCGGGGAGCAGCCTTTGGCACCCAGAATTTGGGATTCCATTCATTAGGCCAGCCTGGTCTGAAAGGTCAGAGAGGAGGCAGCTAGGCTGCACCTCCGTGTGCTAATATATTTGCAGTTGTGCTGTTTTCTGGATGCTGCTTGGGTTAGTGCTAATTAAGCAGGCAGAGAGCACAATGCAATTGCTTGTGAATGAGGTTCTGCGAACCTGGCTTTAATTAGTTCACACCCAAATCACGAAATGTGTCCAGGCCCGGAGATGAGACACCAGCTTATATAACTTAGAAAAAAAAAAAGACTTAAAATAGCAATAATAGAAGGCAACTGGCACCGGCATGCTTCTTTGACCTTAAAAGAAAATAATTTGCTCATCCTTGGCCAATTGGTAGATTGGAGAAGCAGTGCTGCCTTGCAGGGAGACAAGACCAAGGTCTATGCTTTTACCTTTGGGCTCATCTCTTGCTGCTTTCTGGCCAGTTAGCATTTACTTCTTCCTATCCTTTAGCAGGAGCTGGGGACAGGTCCTGTACCTGAGGGACTTAAATTCTGTCTGTCCCTTTCAGCAAGGCCACCCTTCCCTCTGTCCCCAGTTTCTCCAGTTGCTTTCCCTGGTCTGGGTCTGGATCTCCTCTGTGCAGAGACCTGACTTCTCCATCTACACTTCTGAATTAAAAGTGGGTGTCTTGGGGCTGCTCGGTGATGGCCCAGGGAGAATAAAGCAAGAGATGTTCATATTGAGTGCAAAGGAGATGGATAACTGCAGCAGCTCTCCTTGCTCCCTACTGTTTTCCATCTGCTGAGCTGTGCCCACTCCAGCTTTCCTGGTTTCCCTGTGGGAGAGCAATGCTCAGGTTTATCTTTGGTGCATTTATCATGGCCCGTGGGTTTTGCCGTCATGTTCATTTATTAGACCTAAGGTGAGTGGCTATCGTGCTGCCATCGGCATGCTTGGAAGCTGCTCTCCCCCCCCAGGCACAAGGGTGAAAGTAGGTGAGCAGGTTCCCACCATGCCGAACCCCATCAGCAGCGTGGAAAAACACCCGGGCTGCGTGACGGCCGGGGCAGGGGGAGACCATCCCTCAGCTCTGGGATTTTTGCTTTGCTGAAGTCGTGTGAGATAAATAACTTGTAGGTGACCTGGGGATGGCATGTGCAACAGCATGTTAGGCTCGGGTCTGTGAGCTTCAGTGTCCTCAGAGGATCCTTCTGGTGAGCTCTTCCTCCAGGGCTGGTGCGGTGGCACGGGACCAATTCCCTTCTCCGACCTCACCTTCCCCTTGACCTTAGGCAAGCCACTTAAACAAAGATTCATGGGGCTGCTGAAATCCCAGCAGGATGCCTCGAGCCCACCAAAGCCAGGTGGGATGCCAGTGATGACAACGAGGGGCAGAGCTGAGCTGCCTCCAGTCAAGGGACTCACACAGCGAGGAGTTATCAACAAGAAATGCCTCTGGCCAGTTAGCATTTACTGCATTTACTTTACTGGTGCTCCATCTACCCTGGCCCTGAACGCTACCCTTGCTCTGCTCCAAAACCATCCTTCAGGTTTTCCAAGGATGGTTGCGCTGTTAGGGACTGCCATAAGCACAGCAGGCAGCTTTGGGCAGAAAATGACTTCAGCAAGAGGCAGTTGTTGCCTTCCTCCCTACCCAGCCTTGACTTCTGGCACGGTGCTTGCATTTAAGCAGTGCAACAGAGCACTAAGACTTGTCATCTGGAGCCTTCTCTCCTGCTTCAATACACAACGCTTATGTCTTCATCCCTAATCTGCTTTTTTTTTCTCTTTGCAGTGCTGTTTTCTTTGTGACCTACTTGATTCTTGCTTGCTGCTCTGGACCCAGGTAAAATATTTTCTTTTTGGATTTAAAACAGCCCAGTGAAGTGAAGGATGAATGCCCTCATCTTGCTGCAAACATGACCAACATCACTGCAGAGAAGGGATGGGGTCGTGCTGGGGCAATGATGCAGGGCCGGAGGTGGCAGCTGTGCTTCCAGGCCTGATGCAGTTGGGAGTTGCTGCAACGCTGCACTAAAAGCTGAAGTCAAATTGTGACTGGAAGGGTTGATGTGTCTGCTGCCCGAACTGTGCTGCTGCATTGCTCCAAATGTTCATTGTTAAATACCGCAGGGAATGGTTGTCTTTCGCTGGCACAGGGCACTGCTGGCTGCTTTGCTGCGATCTCAGGCGGGCATTTGCCCTCTTGGCCTCAGAGCACCCCGAATGCTCTCTCATTCCCAGCGGGGTGACTGTTCCCTTGCACCACCCCTGCCTTTTGCTGCGCAGGCCATTAATTACGTGGCACATCTTATGCAACCTGTTGTGGAGCGCTGCTGATGACCGCTGCCCTCTGCATCGCAGGGTTGACCAGCCCCTGTTTGTTCACTTGCAGGAGGTATTTCCCATGGAATCTGATCCTGCTGAGCATCTTCGTAAGTAGCACATCTGGACAGTGTCGGCCCTGCCCCAACAACCAGTGCGGGTTTCACAATGGCTCTAGGCAGGAGAGAAAAGAATCTGGGCTCTGAATTCCTGCAGAAAGCAGGAATTTAATCCTCCGATTGCCCCGTACTTGGGCTGAGGAGCTGTAATTGAACTAAAATGTGATAAGCAGGAAAGAAGGGAGCCTCTGTTTAAACCCTTCTTCACTGAGAGGGTGGTTGTACACTGGAACAGGCTCCCCAGGGAAGCAGTCACTGCCCCAAGCCTGTTGGAGTTCAAGAAGTGTTTGCACTGTGCACTTAGTCGCAGGGTCTGAAATGTTGGGTAGACCTCTGTGGTGCCAGGAGCTGGACTCAATGATCCTCGTGGGTCCCTTCCATCTCAGGATATTCTATGATAAAACAAAAGGCCTGCGGAGGCTGGTCAGCTGTGGGAGCTGGGGTAGGGTGCTGGAGGCCTGTGCAGGAGGGTGGAAGGATGGGGAAGGTGGGACTGCTCCCAGCGAGGAAAAGCTGCCCTCATTTTAACCTGTCCTGCAGACATTCATCACTGGAGGATTAGAAACTATGTGAAAATTGCTTCTCCCAGGCATCAGTTTGAGGTTTTGCTACCCTTGTAGTTATTGTTCCTGCAGTTGAGATGTTTTATCTGCTGAGTCTCTTCCTGGGACACGAATGCAAGAATAATGTGGTTCTCTTTCCCTCCCAGACCCTCTCCATGGCTTATCTCACTGGGATGCTTTCCAGGTAGGCTGAGCACATGGTCCCTGGAGGTTTTCTGGTCCTGTGTCCTGGGCTTTTCTGTGGGAAAACTGCCTGGTTTCTGAAATAAAATGACTGCTTGATTTCTTTGGAGCTGTTCTGGTAGCCACGTGAAGTCACCACCTTCCCTTTTAAAAACACTTTTCAAAGAAGCTCTCTGAGAGCCATGGTGCCACCCCTCTTCTGTCACCATTGGGGCAGAACAGGGCAGGTCTTGGCTGTGCTGAGTCCTGTGGGAGAGCACCAGAGAGCCAGGGACGAGGCAGTGCCTGCACAGATGGCTGTAGGGGACTGCCATAGACTGATCTCACCCCTCCTGACAAGCAGCACTCTACCAGATGGGGCTGGAGTGACACAAGGAGCTTATTTTCCAGCAGTTTCATTCTATTTTGTAGTCTACAGCTTGCTCCCTTTTGCTTGTTTTTACTGTTACAATCTGCTCACAAGATCAGCCCCGGTTCACGTGGGTCCCTGATGATGAGGCAGGCGAGCCAGTGGGTGTTGATGGATGTGTGCAGGGCACAAAGAAAGTGGTGGCTTCAGCAGCTCAGGGAAAATGCCAGTGATATCGCTCTGCAGTCAAACCAAAGGGAAGAGCAGGAGGCTGGCTCCTGGGGCTGAGCCTCGTGCTGTAACTGAAATCAGTGGGCAGACATACAAATATAATTTGTATATATAAGCTTGTCGTCTTTCTGCCTGTTCAAATCCTGCCCTGCAGATTTCCAAAACCCAACCCCATTCTTACAAGCATAGCCACAGAGTAACAGTGGCCACAGCCTTCTGATTTCTCATTGTGCTGCAATGACATTTGTCACTCTATTTTTATTACCTCCCAGTTTGAATCCTCCCCTTCTCCATCTGTCCACGGACAGAGACATTTTTATAGCAAGTCCTCATCTTAGCTGCTCATGAGTTCCCAGGAGGAACAGAGGTGCCCTCCTGCCTACCCTCTTCTATTTAAAGCAGGAGGAAAACCCATCTAGTGTTTTTGGGGTGTTTTCTATCTTTCCTTCCCTTTTGACACTAAGGATCATTGATAAGGTCAGTGTTGCTTGTACCCCAAGGACTCACGTTTTTCCTGTACACCCCCACGGAGCTTCTGCCTGTCTTGATCTCTCCTCCCATCCATCCCTTGGAAACCCTAGCAAAGTGGCTCTGCTGTTAATTTTGCAGTTACTACAATACCAAGTCGGTCCTTCTGTGTCTGGGGATCACAGCCCTGGTGTGTCTCTCTGTCACCATCTTCAGCTTCCAGACCAAGGTCAGTCTGTGCTGCTCAGTCCCTCTGGGAGAGGCAGTAAATGGGGTCAGGCAGTGCGAAGGGGCAGGTCTGTGGGGTTCAGGATGCAGAAGAGATCCGAGGGATGCTGGGGTGCAAAGTGAAGGTTACACAGATGCTGGAGTGAGGGATAAGTTGGGGTACAGATGGGGTGAGAAGATGCTAATGTATGGGGTAAGTTGTGAGTGGGTGTTTTTTTTGGTTTGTTCTTTAGGATTAGGCTAGGATACATGAAGGCACTAACATAAATGTGCATGAAGGGCTTTTAGATATCAGGGATGAGATGGGTACAGAATTTGTGCCCACAGCAATAAAGGGGGTATGGTGGGTGTTTGGCTCTGCCATAGGGATGGGAGCTGGGCTACAGGACCTGAGATGGAGATGGAGGAATTGCCATCTGACAACAAGATGGGGGCAATGCTGGGGAGTCCCCCCCTGCAGGTGTGGGGGTCCCCCTCACTGCCTCTGCAGGGCCCCTGCCCGTGTAACGCAGCGCTCTTTGCCTCTGCAGTTTGACTTCACCTCCTACCAGGGCGTCCTCTTTGTGATGCTCATGGTGCTCTTCTTCGGTGGCATCATTCTGGCTGTGATTCTGCCCTACCAATACGTGAGTAACAACCCGCGTGCCTCCTTCCTCACCCAGTCCCCATCAGCATAAAGCCAGGCAAACTCCAGGGCTCGTCTTCAGAGGGGTGTCCTGAAATGTGCAGAAACACCAGCAGAAATGGAAAGCCAGGTGGCTGTCGCCTGCCTGTTGTACAATCAGATAGCAGGCTGTAGGACAGCACTGGCCTGGGGCTTGAGGAAGTTTGCTTCTGTTCCTGCAGCTGTGGAGTGACCCCAAAGCAGGTTGCACCACCTGCTTGTGCCTCAGTTTCCCCTCCACTAAAGCCAGGGTGGTGAGCTGGCTGAAGTGCTGTCCTGCCCTGAATTTGGGCTAAGAGCCCTGCTTTGTTTGGGGCAGGCCTTGGCCTCTGGACAATGCAGCAGTGAGCCTGTCTGGCCAGGCGTGGCTGTAGCCACGCTACCATGGGGCACGGTTCTGAGATGTTTAAATCTTGAGGCTCAAATTTCCCTGACAGAAATAAGCCTCTCTGGGGGGTGACTGAGACCCCAGGAAGAAGTCCAGACCATGACAACCACCTTGCTGCTCCTCCAGCTGCTGCCAGTCCCTCTTGCATGGGTCCAGCCCTTTCCTTTAGCCTCCCATGCCAGCATTCTGCATCCCCGCTCTTGGCTTGAACCCGGCATTGTCTGTGTCCAAGCGAAACCCTGGAGCTACTTGTGGCCACGCCTGATGGAGGGTTTGGTGTGGCAGCATGGAGCATCTGGTCTCCATCCAAGAGTCTCATTAGGTGAGTCGTCATTCAGGCAAGAGCTTGACAGACTCTGGAAGAGATCCTGATGAAAGAGGGAAGGTGTGTGGGGCTGTGGGCCACCATTAATCACCCTGAATGCCTGCTTGTACTGGTGACAGCAGCACCTGGCTTTGATCACGGCAGCCTTTAAGAGCCCTTCAAACCTCCTGCCCACCTCACCTGGCTCCTCTGGGGACTTGAGTCATAATCAATGGGCCAGACCTGCAGGAGATGCTCCTGCTGGTACCAGCCCTGGAGTTGACCTGACGATGCACAAATACATGAGCTGCTGCTTCCAAAACCAGAAGCTTGGTTTTGGGTTGTCTTGGCTTGGCATCCGTCTCCCCTCTTCCACAGACATGCGCATAAACCAGGTGGCGGTGCCAAGCCGCTGCCATTAAACTGTTGAGACAACTGCTCTTTATCTTGCAGCCTGTCAAGATAAGCATAGCTCGAGGCAGCTTGTAATGAGCTTGTCTATCTCGGGAGGCAGGCTGCGATCTCGGGGCTGAATCAGCCATCCATGTGGGCAACTTCTCTTGGAATGTGAGCAACATCTCCGTTAGCGCTGTAGGTTACTGTGCCACAGCAGGCAAGGGCTGGGATTTGGTCTTAATTTCAATGAATTTCCTGCTGTGACTCCAACAGATGAACACACTTCAGCTTTAATTAACATGCAAAACTTCGTCTGGCTCTTGGAAGCAATTGGTGTTTCTTCCGGTGGGATCAGCTCGGCTGGATAAATAAACACCTTCCAGGGCTGCTGCAAAATGCCTTTCCATCAGGGCTGAGTAAGAGGTTTCCACAGAGACTGCAGCTGCGTTGCAGTCGGCTGTTCAGAAACACAAGCACCTGGTCTGGAAGCTTATGAGGCAAATAGACATAAAGACCAGAGTGAGAGAGGAAACTGAGGCACAGCAACCTATCGCTGCCACAAAAAGGACAGCAATAGAAACTGGGTTGGAACTGGAAGTGGTGCAAATTCAGGGCTGTTAGAGCACTTTCCCTTACTTGTATCCTCCACGTGAGAGCTCAGCTCTCTGCTGTGTCAAGTCCTATCTAACCAGTACTCCTGCAGGCACTGACTGGTGGATTTGTTTCTCTAGGTCCCCTGGCTCCACGCGATCTATGCTCTGCTTGGTGCCATTATCTTTACCATGGTAAGTGAGGTGCTTGTCACAGGGCCTGGGAATGTACCGGCAGGAAAAATAAGCAAGTAAATGTGGAATAAATGCTTCTTGCCTTGAAGGGTGCCTAGGGAAGGGAGAAGAGTGAGTTTCAGGATTGCAGAGAGCTCCACAACCTCCAATGGCTCATGAGTAGCAATTACTGCAGTGACCTCAGCCTTGTCCTGGGAAGGTGCTGCTGTACGTGACGGTGCTGGTGCTGAGCATGGTGCGATTGGCAAACCCGTGCTGTAAGCGCAATACTAGGTGTGAGCAGCAGAAAGCATTGGAGGGGCAGGGCAAAAGGCAGATCCACAGTGGGAGCAGAGACCAAACTCTGACACAGCAGTAGGAGCCAGGCTGCAGTGCAAAAGGATGAAATGAGGCAGCAAAAGTGAGCAAAGGCAAGGCAAGGCTGGCTGGGTGGCAGGGGGTATGAACTTCCATAACAAATGAAGGAATTGGACAACAGAGACCGTGGTCTGGGATTAAGGGGCGTTAGGAAGGCTCATTGCAGGCAGGAAAAGCCCTGAAACAGGGCAGCTCCTCGACCTGAAGTTGAAAAGGTTTCATTCATTCCTTCACCTGCTCCCTGGCTCTCCCTCCTGTGAGCCTTTTCCCGGAGCATGTCCCGGCAGTGCCATGCTTGCCACTGGGGTGTGGACATTGTTTGGGAAGATGCTTGGCATTGCCCTGAGGTGGGGGTCAGGAGAAGGGCTGCCTTGGGGTTCAAGGCGGTGCACATTGGGCATGCTGTGAATAAGAACAGTTGGGCAATTTTATTTATTAGCTAATAAAGTCATTTCAAGCAAGCTTGGGTATTTCTTCTGTGATTCATGATTAGAGACTCTTCTGTAAAACACGAGGAGGCTAAACATCTTATTACCCTACAAACTTCTGCCAGAAACGCAGCTGGTGGGGCAAACTGCACACTTAAACTTAGGCACTTTTAAACAGCAGTTATGTCCCATAAAAATTGGCAGTGCTCTTGTTGAGGGTACAGTGAAGCAACTGGGAGAACTCCTTACAGCAAAGCACTTTTTGCTTCCCTGTGCCAAATCTACTTCTGACTGTCACTTGGTTTTCTCCTCTTTCTTCACAGTTCCTGGCTTTTGATACCCAGATGCTGATGGGGAACCGTCGGTACTCTCTGAGTCCAGAAGAATACATCTTTGGAGCTCTCAATATCTACCTGGACATCATCTACATCTTCTCCTTCTTCCTCCAGTTCTTTGGCTCCAGCCAGGAGTGAGGGCAGCAAGGCAGAATCTTCTCTTTGCTGGCAAGATGCAGATGTTTAAAAAAATATATTAAAAGCAAAAGAGGGTTTAAAAACAAAACCAACAACAAACCACCCTTTCTGGCCCACTAGCAGGCTCCATTCTATCAGCCGAGCAAAGCCCCTGGGTTCCTTTATGCAGCTTGTATATATGCTGTTAAGCCTTTGTGACCCAGACAGCAAAGCAGGGCTTAAGTGTTATGTCTGTCCTGCTCCCTCCACTCCTGCTGAGATCAAACCAGACCAGAGACTGGGAGGCATGAGACCAGGATCTTCTCTTCCCCAGAGGCTGTCAGAGTTGCCTGTGTCCTGCGCATCACGGGATGCTGAATTGCTGTGAACAGCTCTGCAAAGGGAAAATCATATTGAGGGAGGAGAGGTAGGGAATTTTGCTAGAATGCTGGCAGGAAACGCACCTGAAGGAAGGGAAAAAGCTAGGGGACCCCTGTTTCTCACCTGCATTCACTCAGAGCCTCATGGCCTCTGCAGAAAAATGTTCCAAGTAGTGCCTGCTTTTAGAAAGGCAGCGCATGGGATCACGTAGTCTGGGTGTCCCAGCAATCAGTCCTTCAGGTGCAAGGGAACCTGTTCAGGATGTTTGGCCTTTTTGAGGACATCCCTAATGTCCTGCAGAAATAATAATTCTGCATCCTTTGCAGCTGGCTGTGGGGCTGAGCCTGCATTTGCTTTCCTTCCCAGCGTGGGTCAGCAGGATCGTTGGCTGTGGGCTCAGCTCCCCAGCCCAGGAGATGTGTACATGTATGTCATTGTCTCGAACTGTGGCTCTTCACCTGGGAGGGTTGGGATCCCACGCGAGGATTACTGGCAGGGAATGGCAGAGAGCAGAGGAAAGAGGCTGAGTGTCAGAGCCCATGCAGGGCTAGGCACATCCTGACGGGGGAAATGGGTGGCTGAGATCCTGTGATCCATCCTAAGGATCTGCTGCCTTCACAAGTGGCTTGGTTGCTAGAGATTAAGTGGTTATTACCCAGAAACTGAGGCCAGGGTGCGTGCCTGTTGCTCAAAATGGGCCCATCTTTGTAGCAAACACCAATGTCGCCTCTTCCTCTTGCTCGAGCCATTTTCTGGCTTTGCTCCCCCAAACAGGGATGTCAAGGAAGGCAGTGGATGCCTCAGAGCGTGCAGGTAACTTTCCATCTTCCCCTTGCTCACATTCCCCTGTCTGGGGATTAGCTGGCTAATTTCTAACTGTAAAGCTCCAGGTGGAGATAAGAGGCCTTTTGCTCTTATTTAGAAAGCGATCCTTCCTGCTGATAGAAACCCGTATCTTCAATCTCCCTGGAATGCTGGTGCAAGTGCGTCACTGAGCTGCCTCTAGCGATCCCCGCGTGTTAGAGAAAGGCTATGCCAAAATGCTCCGTACTGCACATTCCTCCTCTGCTGCTGCCCTGCCTGTTACCCCTCACATGTTGCATCCTCCCGCTGCACGTGCTCCATGCCCTGAGCTGGGCAGAGGAACAGGAAAGTTACTGTGCAAAGTATAAATAAAACATGCTTCAACCCCTCAGCAGCTCCACTGACCTTGTCTGTGACACAGGAGCAGAACTGATGCCTTCCACCTCCCCACTTAAAAAATAAAAGAGAAAAATTGTAGGGATAAAGAAGACAACTGGGATATCATTAAGTTCATGACGCCCTGTTTTCTGCAGTGCAGCATGGAGACAAAGCAAATTCTTCGGGTTGCTGAGCAGGCAGGATTGGGGTTAGGGCAGTGTGGGAGATGCACTAAAAATTTACAAAAATTGAGTTTAGAGAGGTGTTTTTTTCTTACTTGAACCCATGTAGGCACTTCCAAAATACCTTAGCAGCCCGGTTATGCAGCCTCTCTTGCTCTCAGCAAAAGGTCTGTAGGTATTTCTGCTTTCCAGCTTTTGAGGAAGGATTATGGCATTATGTGAAGAGTTCTGACGGAAGTATTCCTAAAACTCCTCCAAAGGAGCACAATCCAGGCCAGAGCTCTGCAGACACCTTTCTGCACTGGGACTTCTCCAAACCGGCCCTGCACACCTTGGACCTCTGTACGAGACCACAGATCTGCAGCCCACTCTGGATCTCTTACTCTTTTTCTTTTTGGTGTGGAGTAAACTCTGCTGCTGCCTGAGCTGCTGCTGCCTCCTGGCTTTCTGCTTCCCCATGGGAAAACCTTGCATGGCACCTGCTGCATCTCCAGGCCACCCAAGTGGGGATGGCTTGCTGCCCTCATGAGACCCTCTGCAGGGCTCCCTTCTTGCATGTGTCCTGGTTCCTCTTCTGTACTGACCCCACGGCTCGCAGCCCATCCATGCCAGGCCCACTGAGAGCACTCGGATTGAAGGTGGAAGTCCCCATGGGGCTAATGCAGGATTAGGGGTGAGACATAGGCACAGGCAGGTTTCTCCTGGGTTCCCGGACCCGCTGTGCAGGGGAGGTGCAGGGCTGCTTCACTTCCTCCATGTGGCTGACCCTTATCTGAGGTCTGCATCATCGTGACCCCAGCTCTGTAACCCTGTGATCCTTTTGTCCAGCCATTCTTATGATTTCATTGTAAATAGAATTTTGTATTTTCTCTGAACATTGCTAATAAATTGTTGCAAAACTGTTAGTGCTGTTGTGAGGTCTCCTGACTGAAGGAAGGTCTGTTTGCATAGCTGGTGCTTCATCCCCCTGGAATAGTAAACGTAAACAAGATTATAGCATGATGTGGCATAGCCTAAAGTTTTAGTGGAGACCAGGCTGGCTCTTCTCTGCTTATGACTAAGGCACACATCCTACATGAAGCAATAAAATGCTTATGGCTCCAGCACAGGCATCACATGTAAAGTATTTGAGAATCGAAGGCCAAAGGTCTCCTTGGGTAAGACATCTGCTCTTGCTCAGACTTGGTTTAAGTGAGTGTAGGGTTCAAAACCCTAGTAGAGGCCAGCAAGTGTTGTCAACAAGGTACCTGCTTAAGAGAGCATTTCCAGCTGCTTCTGGAGAGCAACCTGACGCACTAAGCTTTCTCTAGAGAGAGTGGGGGAAAATAAAAAGCCTCCAGAGAGCTATTCACATGATGTAAATCAATGCCTACACTGGGCGGTGAAATCTCTCTCTCTCCATCAGCCATGGATTAGTCCAGGCTGCCAGAGGAGAGCGATACCAGCTGCAGCATCTTGTTGTGACAGATCTCTGCTCCTGAGAAGAAGCTATGCTCAAAAGGCAGGCATGAGATTTTGTCTCCTAAAAAGCATGGCTAAACAGTGAGGTACAGACCACAGATGCATTTTTCTGCAGCAATAAAATATTTTGTGTTGTTGTGTTGGATAACTTAAGCTTAGCTGCTCCTGTAATTAACAAAAATGGAATAAAAGGCTGATGATTCTGTCCAATTTCAACACTTGACTCTTGAGGAATACGGCAAACATTCATTTGGCCTAAAGTTGTAAGTGTAATGTGACCATGTAGAGGTGGGATGTGGAAGAAAGGAGGAGATAGAGAGATTCATCAGTGTGTGATGGATGTCAGAAAGAGGAAGGTATCAAGCTGCTTCCCATGCCTATAGCAAAGAGGACAAGAATTTAGGGGCCCTAATTGCAGCCAGAAAGATTCAGGGGAAACCTTAAAAAAAAATTTAAAAATTCTCTTGCACAAGAGGAGGGAAATATCTATATGTTTGTCCTTCTTCCTGTCTTCTTTCCCTTTCATGATTGAGGTGTGTCGAGGATGGAGACTTCCTGCAGATCTCTACTTGTTTTTCCCATGGCAGGAGCCAAACACAAGGGCCCAACCTCGGCTCTGGCGCTTGCCTCCGTTTCTGAGCTCCTGGCGCCCTCTGCTCCTCATGCTGTAACAACAGCTAACATCGGAGTGTGAAATGAACCCAGGTTCTCCTAAAACCTTCCCCCTGGTGGAGATGGAGTCTTTTACCCCTCTTTTTAACTACAGGCTTTTTTTTTTTTAATTTATTTTTTTGTCTTCTATGAAATCTCCCACCAGCTACCTATCTACAGACAGGAGCAATACCAGGATGATCATTTTGTTGTTGTTTTTGTTTTGTTGGTGTGTTTTGATTTGTTAACTAACACTTTGTAACATTTCGTGAAAGCTTCTGTAAACCAGAGAGCTGCCCCCGAGGGTTGCACACACACAGGCAGGTTTCTATGCTGGGGGAAGCTGAAATGAACTTTATGGTTAATTAGCCTGGCTGTGGGTGCTCTGTTGGAGCTGGTGGCTCCCCCAGGGCCTGAGCCCCTGCCCCAGGCCTCGGCAGCACCATGGCAACGCCGGGCAAAGGGCAAAGGGCAAAGGTGGCAGGGCCAGAGGTGACCCCGGGGGTGGATGCTGCCCTTCCTCGGCCTGCTCTGGTGTGATAGGGACTGGACACTTTTTTTTTTAAAAGCAAAAATTCTACAAATTCTTTTCGCACAAATGGACCTGGAAAGCCTGGGCTAGGAGGACTGAGAACAACCCCAGCGGCCTTGGCCCTCACCCCCCCCCCGCCCCCCATCTCCTCAGTGGGTGTGCGCATGCGCGACCTCCCCCCCCCCCGGAACCTTTCTTCCCCGGAACCTTTCTGCGCCCGCTCGGTCCGCGCCCGGCGCTCGCGCGGTAGGGAGGCAAGATGGCGGCGCCCAGCAGCGCGCCCCTTCCCTGCCCGGAGCCCGGCGCTGCTCCCTACGGCAACTTCCCCAACTACTCCCGCTTCCACCCGCCCGAGGCCCGCGTCAGCCTCCTGCCCGACGGCCTCTTGCGGCGGCTCTTCCCCGCGGCCGCTCGCCCGCTGCTGGGCCTCGACGTGGGCTGCAATTCGGGGGTAAGGGGGCGATGGGGGGGGGGTTGTGAGGTGAAGGAGGAGGGGGGCGGCCTGGGTTGGGGGATTGGGGGGGAGAGGTGTGGGGGTGCTGGGATGGTGTGGGGCACTGGGGGGGTGAGGGAAAGGCTGAAGGGGAATGGGGGGTGGTGAGGGAAATACTGGTGAGGGGTGGTGGGAGGGGGTCCGGGGGTTGGGGGTGGGGTTGGGGGGCTGGGGGGGGAGGGAAAGGCTGAAGGGGAACGGTGGTGTCCCACCTGCAGTGGGTGTCCCAAGCACCAGAGAGGGCAGGGGAGCTGGGTGAGCCTGAAACCAGACCCCGTAACGTGTTCCCTCTTGATAGCATCACCTCCCCTGTCTGTCAGACGGGCGTGAAGCTGGTATCCTGCTCACATGGTTGCAAAGGTTTTGTGACAAAGCTAGCAAATACTTAGAATTTCCTTTTTTTGGCAGTTCATTGTCTTCGCCTTCTTACACTTTTCTCATGACTCTTCTTGGTGTGCAGCTGTGCAGTGTTGTGCAGGTGAACAGTGGTGCAATATTTAATGTAACTGTTTTACAGATAATTTTTCCTGATCAAAACTTTATAAACTTAGCTTAGAAGTAATTACTCATTCAGGATGAAACTCGGATCTGCTTGAGGACGTGCGTGCTGCTCTCTCCCAGGCTCCTTTCCCCAGCCCCCTGCCAGGTTGTTTGAAGGCCTAAGGTGTTATCTCAAGGACAACCCTCGGTCCTGCTTCAGATGAACCCGCAGAGCAGGTCAGGCAAAAATGTTCCCAGTCCAGTTCTGTTGAAATACAGAGACACCACTAGGGGACACTGCCTGCCTGCGTGAGCTGGGTGCACCTGCAGTTTTCCTTGATGTCATTCAGGAACTTCATCAAATCTCCTTTAATGAAAGATAAATATGCTTGCCGCTGAGTGGCGCGCTCTGCAATGCGAAATTCAGAAGAAAACTCTCCTTAATTCTTATTTGCTGCAGTCTCATGGTCAAGAAGTGTCTCTTCCTGTAGCATGAGAGTAAGAAATGCATTTATTCTTAATTAGGCATTATAAATAGCTCTAAGTCTTGCTAGGGAGCTCTGAGGCTCAGCTAGGAAAACCAGTGATACCTTGATATTGGATGGGGAGATTCAGCAGGACTTGTGTTAGTAAAACCCATTCACCTTACTCAATTTTTTCCTCAGCAAACCCCCCGGGAGGGGTGATGCAGGTTTAGTTCCAATTTCTGGCAGGCTTTCTGGTAGTCAGGGCTGCTGTGCTGCTTTTCCCTTCAGAAAGGAGGATTGTCAGCGAGCTTACTGCTCTAACGTCATCAAGAGAAGGCTCTGAGTTGGTGCTTGTACCTTGCTGCTGGGAGTGGGACCCGATGTGCTTGGTGAGGTGACCGAGGCAGCGCAGGCCCTGTGAACTCCTGTTGTTTTCCTTCCTGCAGGAGCTAAGTGTGGCTCTGTACAGGCATCTGCTCGGCCTTCAGGACAAAAGCAGCCTGGACCAGCCTGCAGCTGGGAAGGATCTGCACCTTCTGTGCTGTGACATTGATGCAGCGCTGATTGAGAGAGCTCGGCAGAGCAGCCCCTTCCCTGCCTCCATATCCTTTGCCAACCTGGACATCATGGACTCGGCTTCCAGGGAGCCGTTCCTCAGCTCCTACCTGGGCCGTTTTGGCCGTTCCACCTTTGACATTGGCTTTTGCATGTCTGTCACCATGTGGATCCACCTGCACCATGGGGATAGCGGCCTGAGGGAGTTCCTGGCCTTCCTCTCCTCGCTGTGCGAGTACCTGCTGATCGAGCCGCAGCCCTGGAAGTGCTACAGGGCTGCTGCCCGCCGCCTGCGGAAGCTGGGCAGGAACGATTTCGATCACTTCCGATCTCTTGCTATCAACGGGGACATGGCGGAGAGGATAACGCAGATCCTGACGAAGGACTGTGCGATGGAGCTGGTGTGCTGCTTCGGGAGCACCAGCTGGGACAGAAGCCTCTTGCTTTTTAAATCAAACGGCTCAAACCAAGAGGGCAGGGAGCCCTCGGGGTCGTAAGTGACCGACAAATGGCCTCTCGTGTTCCTGAGCTCTCAGGCCAGGAGGCGTGCAGTGGGCACAGAGACAGCTGCAGGAATTCCTCCATCCCGATCGGGGTCAGACCTTGACCTCCCCAGGGAGTTTGAGGCAGGTGTGTGCTTGGTTCTGTTCCATCCGCAGAAATGTGGTGACCTTGTGGGTTCCGAGGGCGTTGTTCCTAAAAAGTGCTCTTGAAACCAGAGTTGCTCCATGTGTGCTTTCCGTGTGTACCAAGGGTATGCCCTGGATGGAGGGAGAACACATTTTTTGTTGTTTTTTGTCTACGTAACTTTCTGAGGAAAGGGAAGGCAAATACACTTCTATTCACCTGTGTGACGTGCTGTTTGTCCTGCTTTTTGTCTTATTTTCTCTCTAAAATAATTTGGGAAAGCGTGTAACCTGGCTTACCAGCCGTGGTCAAGTTGGGTCACTTCAGAGTGTGTCTGGCTGACATTTCGGTCAGGCTGCAGCCCGTGCACCTCTGCCTGGAGTCTGCTTGAGTGGCTGTCAGTGGCGTGATCTCTGGAGCGAAGGATTTCCATAGTAGGGCATGTATTCATGCGAGTATGTAACAAAGGAAGAACTCTTTGTAATTATGTCCTTAAAATAAAAATTAACTTTATCAGTGAACTGTTTGCTTTTTAATCTTTCTGCTCCCATTATCTTCTAACCTGCGCGGTCTCAGGTAACTGAGTTTACCTTGTGTTTGCAGGTGTAAATGACACTTCGGTAAGCCTGCAGCTCAGGTACTGTGTTTGGCTAAGGTTAAAGCGTGACAGCTTCGGGTTGTTTCCTATCATTCGGTAAGATCTAGAAAAGAGCATTAAAAAAACACCTAAGCAAAATGTCTTAATTTAGCTTAATTTCACTTAATCTCCTGACTGGCTTTTGTTCATGCCTAGTTAGTGGTTTTGTGAGCTTTTGTAGTGAGTAGGAGTCATGCTTCTGTGGTGGTGTTCAAACAGATTGCAAACTTTCCATGAGTGTACTGTGACACGCAGAAATAGATAACCGATGACTCCTGCGAGTTCCTGAGGCCCGCAGCTTCCTCACGAGAGGGAAGCGCAGCTCTGTGCCTGAAGCGTTGTGGCACGGGAAGCTGGAGAGGAGGACGGCTCCTCCAGGAGGTGCTCTTGTCTAGCAGTTCTCGTGCCCAGGTGAGCCCGTGTGTACGGGCAGGGAAACGCCGGGCACCTCAGTGTGTCCTGGCGGGGACTCGCTGGTTATTGACTCTCATGGTTTGATTTCCTCCATAATGATCTGATTAAAGCGCAAAGCGTGTGAGCGCTCTCCCTGGCTGCCCACAGGATTCTGGATGAGAAGCCGCTGGGATCCATGAATGGATTTGTGGAAAAAATGCTCGTGTGGGTGTGTGCATGTGTGTAAGGGGACTGAGCAGGGCCACAGGAAGGCTTTGAGGCTCTTCTAAATGCAGTTTCCACAGTGCTCTGCTACTTCTGTAGGAAAACACTTGGCACTCCCACCAGGAGTCAGGAAGGCTCTTCTGAGGGTTCCTCAGCCCACTCAGCTGCAAACACATGTGTCTACCCGCTGGTGGTGGTTAATTTTCTTAAAAAAGACTTTAAAAGTCTGCGCTGCTTTTACTACCCTCATGGGAGGGGAGGGAAAATCAATTCCTCACATATTTTCCTGAGGGTTCACCCAAGCGCCTGCTCTCTCTCTCTCACGTTACATATAAATAACATTTATCACTTCGGTAATTAAGCACCTCATCTGCCACTCACTCACCTACGGGTGAGCTCTGCTGACTGCAGGGCTGTTGGCTCACCCAGCACGGAGGCGGCTCAGCCTCCCCTTCCCTCTGCTTAGGTGCTGTTCCCTGCCCTGCACGGCTGATGGCACTGCAGCATCGCGCATCCCGTGGCCCCAGTCCTTGAGATGTTTTTGTTAGGTTGTGTCAATATCAGCTGCGGTTCTCTGGGAACTCTGAAATATTTAGAAAACACACCTGGAGTGTATCTGTTCAGCACTCGAGTTTAAAGGGGCGAGCAGGGCTTTCTGCTCTTCGTTTCTGCATGGGGATTTGCACAGTTTGTGAAAAATTGTTTGTGGAGTTTCTAGGAAGGTAGACAACCCAAAGAATTACACCCAGGAGACTTTCCCTGCGCCGTCTGGAACGACCTTCCTCTTCAAAGAGAGCCTGGTTTATGTTCCTTCTGCGCTGAGTGATAGATCAGTATCTGCCTGGGTGATCCCTGTGGGCTGCTCATTGTTAACAGAATGGTGTTTTTTTCTTTTTTTTTTTTTTTCTTTCAGCCTTTCTATGTTGGCTGTGTACAGACCTGCAAACCAGCCTGGTGTGTATATAACAGTGTGATGACTTCTTATCTGTCTCAAGTCTGGACTATTAAATTGCTAATATCAATATGTCCAACTGTCTCAGAAATGGCAGAGCTCCAAAAGCAGCTCTGTTTGACTCTGGCACAGCAGTATGTTTTGGTTCTGTTCTTCAGATATTGCCACAAACACAACTCAAAATAATGTCAACACAAATCTCTGTATTTCTTGAGATATTGAGTAGCTTAGACTGGAGTCAGTCCTTTAGCAAACAGTATTCAAAAAAAAAAAACAATAAAATAATCTCTTTTCTTTTCAGCTTGCTGCTTCTGCTCTGCAGGAAGCTGTCACAAGATGAGACAGGTGGGACCCAGCTCCATGACACAGCAGCAGAAGAAAGCCTGTGGATCTCAGCTGCAGAACTTATGTAAGGCTCTGGATGATTTATATTTTTTTAATATACGATACTCTCTGCGTTTTGCAGTGTGGTTAAAAGGTGTTCTCAGGGCTCCTGAAGGTAGAACCTACGAAAGGTAAAGGTGAGGGTCAAGACCAACACTCCTGCTCCATATTGCTCAGAGCACTTTGCAGAGTTGGGTGCAGAGTTCTTTGTACAGATGGGGAAAGGGAGGTGTCTGTCGCTTGGTTGAGGTGGTGGGGGTGGCTAGCCACGTAGAACTCGGGGTACTGGGGGTAAGGGATGGCACAGAGGCCTCTGCTGGGAGTCCTGCTCGCTCATCTCTGTGACACGAGGATGGGGCCAGCCTGGTGGCTGCTGCTAAAACAAGGGAGATGCAAATGTGCTTTCATTACTCAGCCAGGAGCTTATGGCATCAGGCAGCGCTGCCATCTAGGTCCCTTTGCCACTCAGCTCACTCATTTTGTGTCACAGGGGTGGGTGTGTGTGTGTGTACGTGCGCCTGCACACCAGGAGGGTAACAGGGAGGTCCTGCTTGCTGCCTCCTACCCCATGGCTCCAGCCCCATGGTCACCTGCAGAAGCCTGCTGAATTCACCCCTTACACGGAGCACACGTGGGTCGTGGGTGAGCGTTTCCAGGCAGGTGCAAAATGGTGCGTGGCACTGGGGTGGGACTGGTGGGATGGTGCCCTGTGCCACCTCAGCAGCAAGCAGGGAGTTCCCACACGAGTGCTTTGTCAAGTTCCCAGGCTCCGAGGTTTGTTGCTGGGCCCCATCAGATCTCGCCTCAGTTTTTCCATCCCTGACATGAGCTCGATATCCACCCACCAACGTGGAGATTCCTGGTGGGGAGAACTGGCTGGGTGTTTGCACAGCACTTTTGAGAATGAAAAATACTGATGAGCTGAGCTGTATCATCAGCTGTGAGCTATGCCATTGTTCCTAATAATCACTGCAGCCACTTCAGATATTAATTAGGTACTGTACGTTCAAAGTGTTCTGACTAATTAAGTCTCACACCACTGCTGTGTAGCAAGTCACACTTAATTATCCTGCTTCCTTGGATGGAACAATCTAGACAGCAGAGGTAAAGCATTGAGTCCTGAGCAGGCCAGCATGAAAGTTGAGCAGGGAGCACAAAGGTGCCAGTTTCTGGGTGATTCTGCTGAGGCTTCCAGCCTTTGTAGGATGTAAGACTTGGATGGAGTAAGCGAGAGGGCCTTTTTTAAATTAGCTTTTATTTTTTTAACTTTTATGCTGAGACAGTTTTCTGTCTCCTAGATTCTTGTGCTGGGTGAGAACAAGGGATTCACTGAGCGGGGAAGAATTTAGTGCTTAAATGTGGTGCAATAGCAGCGGCTTTATCAGTTTAACGTTAACAGCTGCCAGATCAAATGACTGTTGTAAACACCTATCTCCCTGCAGCCTGCTTCCATTATTGCGCACGTAGATTTTGACAGCCTTGCAAGTGCTGTTCCTCAGCATTTCTAAATGGTGACAGGGTTTAAAAATGGTCTAATTCTACTTTCCCCAGAATGTGTGACCAGCCCAGGAGCGGAGGAACCAAGCTTAGGAACTGAGAGCTGGCAGCAGTGTGTCTGCTCCCATAAGCAGCTTCCTCTAGCTGGAAACCCAGCAACTTGTCACTACAGGCTTGTAGGGCAGAAGCTGCAGATTTTCGGATTTCCTTTGCTCAGCTGAGAGCAAGTTCTTTCTTGTTCTTCCTGGAACTTTGTTGCCTGTGAATTAAAGGAGAAAAGTGAGAGGTGTCAACCCCAAGAAGCATGGGCATCTGTTCCTGGCATGCTGTAAACCTGAGAAAAGAGCAGCCACAAAACAAACACGATACCTTTTCTCTCCCAGGTGTGAGCCAGTTCCCTTGCTTTTTGTTTTGATTTGCTGGTGGTGTGAGGAAACGGATCCCCTTTGGCAGAGTTGGAGAGGTCCTGCAGGGCAGACCAGCTGCAAATCCAAGGAGTCGGGGCCCTGGACTTGTGCTGAGGGCTGTTTTTGTTTGGCCTAGTTGCAAATGAGGAGCCCTTGGTAGGTCAGAGGAGGTCAGAGGGGAACAAAAAGATCAGCTGTGCACTTCCTGGTGTCCTGTTGGTTTGGGGAATGGATGCGGCTTAGCCACGTACACTCAAGTCTGATGACTAGGCGAGAATGGACTCTTTGAGTCCCGGAGGCCTAGATGCAGTCTCTCTGGACCTACTGGAGAAGGTTACAGGCAGATACGTGGTGTGTGGGGAGTCTGTCCGGCCACTGGGCTCACGCCGGAGTCTTTAGGGTTTCACTCCAGACACCTCAGCTTCTCCATTCACTTGTGCTAACATGGGCAGGAGCTCTGGCTTCCCAACAAACCTCTTATCAGCTCACGCTGGAGTTCCTTGGAGTTAATTCTGGGCCGGTGTCCTGCTGGAGCTGGGTCACCCACTGGGCTTGGAGTCCAAAGGGGTCTTGAATTTGAAGGAGAAAGCTTGGGGTCATGGTCTGGGCTCGGAGTAAGCTTATACTGCTTTGACAAGGACTGAAGGTGGTCACGTCTAAAAGACCTTGGCTCTAGGGTGGGAAATGTGGGTTCCTTTCTTGGCCTTGCCACCAGCTGGCTGCAGGACTTAGGTGAGCTGCTGCTTTCCTCGGGCTTGTCATCTTGTGTCCTTTATTTCACAGGGAGGGATAATCTCAGATCTGTGTGCTAAGCTCCTGAGCTTTGAGTATCAAGTGCTGTGCAGATGTGATCTGTGTCAACCCGACAATCCGAGTTCGAGTGGTTGCAGATCTAGCTTACAACGTGCATGTTATCAGCTGGCTGGATTTTTATCCTGAGTTGCAATAAAACTGCTTCATCCTTGGGTCTTCAACAAGGCAGAAGGCTTTATTTTGAGGGGTGATGTTTTCAGAGCAGCACAGTTTTCTGAACTCCTGTCAAGCAGGGAAGGGAAGGAGGGATCTTCCTCATGCTTCCATGGCAGAATGCATTTTTAATCAGTTTGAAAGACGTTTATTTAACCTCCTTCATCTAAGTCGTGTATGGTGGGCCAAAGACTAGGCATGGCACTGCAGATCATCTACCTGGCATGGGGTGCTTCGTGGTGCCAGGTGAAGTCATTCTATTTTATTGTTGCAGTAGCAATTTCTGCGTCTGCCATGTGAGTGACAAGGATTTAGAGCTCAGTTTGAGGGTGGTGTCCCTCCTCGGCCTTCTCGGTTCCCCTCCACCCCTGGGGTCAGCCCAGAGCCTGAAGTCTGTGAAAAGTACAGAAGCTGCTGAAATGCAGCTTTGTTACCCCAGCAGCTGAAATCCAGAAGCAGTCGTGCTGCAACAGGCCTGCCCTGCTGCGGGAGAACAAGCTGCAGGGTGACACATCAAAAGAGAAGGGCAGCTCCGTGGTGTTCTCTGGGGAGATCAAAAGGAAGCAAGCAGGGCGGCTCCTCTCCTGGCTGCCCCTTGAGACTGCTCAACTCTTTCCCAGTGTCCCTTTAATCTCCATTGCCTCCTGGAAGATCCCTGTCGCAGGCATGGGAGATGGTGGTGGGAAAGGCCCATGTCGGAGCTGGCTGGTGTGAGGGCAGCGACCCCTGCTTGCACGTGAGGACTTTGTGTGTCCTCTGTGGGTAACGCTGATGGGAGGGCGAAGGTTTTGACGTGCCCTCCTAGTGCAGCCGTCATCTTTGTGTCCCACTGGAGCAAGAGACCTGCATAAAAAGGTGCAGGGGAACTGGGTGTGAGCTCCCCTGTGTGGGACCTGGGGTTGGTCACCCCCCGAGAGCATCAGCCCCCTTCTGCAGCCGTGGTACCGGGGCAGGAGGTCTGCTCTGCGCGGCTGCCGCTGCGTTACGCTAATTGCAGCCAGCTCATGGAGCAAGGGAATTAGTGGGGCACTGTTTGAAAGTAGCCAGGGCTTTTCAGGAATGTGTGTGGGGACAATTATCCGGGCTCTTGGATCTGCTGGGACTGATCTGCTGGAGTAACCGCTGCGTTCTGGACATTCCCAGCCTGACCAGCGCTGACTCCTTGTCCGGGGAGGCGAAGTAGGGCAGATGCTGAATTATTTATTGTCCTCCAGCCCCTAGAGCGGGACCTGCTGTGCATTCCTTACTGACTCAGGTGGAGTTTTAACTCTGTTTTTCTTAGCCATTCTGTAAGCAGATGTTGTTTAGTCTTTTCCTACTTTTTTAGCAACTGTTGGTGCACAGGAAAAACGATGGAGAGGAGAGCTGCCTTCTGTTTGCCCTAGATCCTTTCTGAGGCCACTGCAGACCACCTCCATGCACAGCCTTGGATCAGGGCAGTCATGCTGACCTGTGAGAACACTTTTTTTCTGCCGTGCCTCAAACAACCCCTGCTCCTCAGGCCTCTCTGCAGGACTTTCCGGCATGGTCTGGCTTCTGTGATGTCCTGTGGCAGCGCTCAAGGCAAACTGTGCCTGCACAGCAAAGCCACCTGGGAGCAGAGTGGTTGAACCTGATGGCATTGAAATGTGCAATAAAGCATTGGGCCTCGAGTAGGAGAGATACTGTCTGAAAGGCTCTGCTTAGCGAGAGGAAGCGGGGACCTCACAGGAGCGGTGAGACTTGGAGCTGCTTTGAAGATGGGAGGAAGAAAAGGAGAGTGAAGGCGGAGGAGACTTGGGAATCAAATGAGATATTCCCGGGGCACCTCCTGGCCCTGCTTTCATGAGCTCTTTTCTCCTGCGGATGGTACTGTCGGTGCTGGAAGTAGGAAGGTTGGTGGCTCAGTCTCATCTGACCTTGAATAACATCAGTGCAGAACTGATCTGGGGGGATTCCCAGCCCCGGCTCGTTAAAGGACCCATTTACCTGAGCTGTAGGTTGAATATAATGCAAAGGGAAAACAGGCCCGTGCGAGGTCCTTCTCCCCCCCTCGCCAGTCTCCCAGGTGACTGGTTGGTGTCCCAAACACTGATCCTTGCCTTGGGGGGAGGTGGGGAGCGGAGAGCTGCTCTGCTCCTCCATGTTCTCTCTTGATCTGCGTTTCTAGCTGGTG